CACTCTTTAGGTGCAGCACAAGTATACACAGAGTACTAGAGAGAGAGTATCTGTTATATAATATGGAGGGAGCTGGGTGCAGTGGCAAACACCTGTAGTCCTAGGGACTTGGGAAGCTGAGATGGAAGGATTGAAATTTAGCAAGATCCTGCCTCAAAATAAAAATTAATGTAGCCCAATGTTAGAGCACTCACAGGTGTAATCTCCAATATTGCAACAAACAAACAAACAAACAACAACAATAACAACAAGCATTGAAGGCCCTTGTGTGGTTTCAGAAATGGGAAAAATTACCTGCTTCCCCTTCCTGGTTTGTTTAAAGAGTTAAAATGTAGTATTAGATATTATGCAGTGATATAGGTTCTATATCACTTTATCTATAGGTTCTATATCTACATGGGTCTAAATGTTTAGGGGGTATTATAAGCCAACTAAATTATCGATTTTAATATTCCTCAAATTATAAGTAAGTTTGGTTTTGTGATTACAGACCTTTTTACTTATATGGCAAATGGCATCTTATGAATCTCACATTTTAAAATAAATAATGATACAACAAAATGAAAAACTACCTTTTTAGGTCATGGTCAATTTATGAGTGATAAAGTACATTATTGGAGTAGTTTTAAAAAGACAAATACAAATAGTTCTCCAGTATATTTTCCCAACAATGTGATAATAGACAATATATAAATCCAGATGCCAGTCTTAGTGATAGCAATGTTAACTTTCTTACAAATTATCCACATTTCCAGTGGAGTACTACCACGAAAACCCCATAAGGGGTGTTCTGAGAACACACCAGCAATGAGCCAAGCTTCAGCAACATCCACAAGAAGCATGTACAAGAAGACAAAAGGCTGGCACACATGATAGTTAATATTCCTCCTAACTGAAAAGTCTATAATTCCTGGAATGAGTTTTTTGAAGAACAAAAATCAGTTTCTTTTTTTAAGCTTAATTGTTAAAACAGTGCATGATGGATATCTCCGTAGCAGATTGCACAACCACCTAATCATGTTCTGATTCAAAAATATGTCAAAGGAAGCCAACCAACATAACCTTACCACAAATATTTAGCACTTTTCATGATGATAACATTTGAGATCTACCCTTCCCACAAAACAGGGCAGCTCTTGGACAATAAATAAGTAAGTAAACTTCTTCCTTCTAACTAAAGTTTTGTACCCCTCAGTTATCAGTTCTCCATTCCATCCAACTCTCAACCTCTGGTAGCCTCCATTCTGCCACATTTCTGTGAGCCCCAATTCCAATTCCACCTGTCAGTGAGGCTATACGTAACTCACCTTCCCGTCACGGGCTTATTTCACAATTCCATCCATGTTGTTGCATTTCATTGCACAACGTGTTGGAATATTGCAACATCCCTCCATACCCTGTAAATATATAAAACTGTAATTTGTCGATATATAGCAACAATCATAACAAAAAGCAAAAGTGACATAATGTCTCCATTTGGTCTGATAGAGAGGGCTAATTGAGCCAAGGGATACCAAGCTTTTATAGAAGAGCTGAATAAAGGTCAGTCTAATCATTCTGGGTTCCTAGCATAGGAAATTCCTTAGTTTTGGGTTTCAGAATCAGGCTGCTTCTGGATCAACCATTATGCTCTCCTTACTTAAGGCATGAACTATTACTAAAGCACACAGTTCCCCTAATAGGAAAATATTCAACTAAACAGAAAATATTAGAAAATAATTGTGAAACTGGGAAAAAAGTGTCCATTTGATTATTTTCCAACTTCAAGAATATTTTAATGATCCATTTGTGTCAATTATAGTATAGATTCCAGAATAACCCAAAGGGGCATTTGTTTGCTTCTTTGATAAAAGTAATATTTTATTTTTCAAAAAATCAAGATAAATTTTCCATTAAATGTTTGTTTTTTCAAAAGATGTGAACAGAGATCCAGAAGCACTGGTCAGTCTAGGCAAATGGAATGTCAAATAATGGAATCGGTTTCTCCACTCGGCTCAGCAATGCTGAGAAGGCAGGGAGATGGCTCTATTCTTAGTGGCATCAAGAGCGAGATGAGCCAGGAGTTTCATAAAAGTATTACAGCTCAATGGTATTGTCCCCTTGGTGAAGTGACTCTCACCCTTTGTGTTTGCTTCCTCATCTCTATAGCTGACCCAGCAGGGAAAACAAATCTTATGTATGTGCCCACGATTTACCCCATGTCTCTATCACTATGAAGGATCAGAGCAAACTGGAGAAATATTTTAATTCAAGCCATTAGACCCTTCACAGAAATAGAAACATGAGATAGACTTGGTCATTTATCAGCAATTACCACAATCAAAAGAGGTTAAGTTCATGATTAAAGTGATGGCACTTAGGAAATGATGAAGAATTGGAGTGATTTCCTACAGTGAATTTGGGCCACAGTGTCAAGATGAGACCATTTGCCAATGTCACCATTTTCCAGCAATTGGTCAATGTCATATTAACCACTCTAG